AAAACTTGCACCAGTAATATTTTTGCAATTATGCACGGCTAAAGAAGCAGCATGGCTCAATATTTCTGCAGGGGACTTTCAAAGTCTATAGTTGAGTCCATGCCTCGTTGACTTGCTGCTGTTCGTGAGCAAAAGGACGTCCAACACGATATTAGGTTTGTCACCTTGGTGAATTTTGTCTATGTACTTTAATTGCTTTGTCATTATTCACAATGTAAACCAACGTTTTATTTATTTAACGTCAAAAATAGTTAAAATCTGTGTGTGACGTGTGCAACAGGGAGAGGTATATTCTGTGACCGTTTTCTTAAATCTGGGATCCCTACTCTGTCACATACTGGTTGATTTCTGAACCCAGAAGGATATGAGCGTTTTGGCAAAAATTGATGAAAAAATAATCGCTCCGGTGTAATAAAAATTTTTTGCAAGGGCAAATCAGCCATAGATTTGGGGTCTTCTCTCTCATCGTGCCCTTTGTGAAGGAATTGACTTCCTGCCTCGACAATATGGAGAGCGATAGTTTGAATTTCCGAATGTGCTCTCGAAGACGTGCATAGATGGTGAAGTTACATTTATGTCGAGAAGCAAAACAAGGTTTTATCTCAGCATTCGCTCAAAAGATCAGAGAAACTGCACGAAATACCTGATCGAGATGAGGACCATTGAACCACAATCTGACGTACAATACTAGATACAGATGGTTTAGATTTATACCACCCAAACTGCTATATAATTAATGCATTAAATATCATTGTTAAAATTGATATTTCTTTTCTTTTTGATACTCGATATAGTCTCCAATTGTAAAGCAACAGTTAAGCCACAGAAACGCTTTTACTTGGATTAAAATTGATACTAAAGTTTTAGCACCAAGTTGGGGCTTAAACTTCAGTATCAATTTTAATCCTTTAGGATCACCTGGCAAATGTGTTGCAAAATAATGTTCATATGTAGTATGAAAAATAGGTCCCCTGATACCGTAAAAACGTTTTTTCAACGTCCGTCCATCTGTTTGTCCGCCCGTCTGTCACTCTGTCCGTCCGTCCGTCCGTCCGTCCGTCCGTCTGTCCGTATACACCAATAGCGCCTATACCATACTTGGAATTTTTCCAAAATGGATATTTCTCGGTCGATCTGGCTCAACTTGAAGCGCTGCAATTATGAAAAAACTATCTTAAAAATTTGAGGGTACTTTACTTAAATCCCCTTAAACATTTTCAAAATGTTCTCACAAATCACTCAATTTTTTTATTTTTAAATTTCTTGGAAGCATAGAGTGAAATGCACTTATAAAGGTGGTATAGGTCCGATTTCCTCTGTTAACTCTGAACTTTTGAAAATTTCGAAAGATTAAATTTTTTTCAGTGTCTCCCAAGAACCACAATATTTTTTTCTTTCAAAAACATTTGTTCCCCGTATTTAGTTTTTTCAATAAGGTCATGAATATTTTTTGAAACTTTTATGCGACATCCATGTTTTCAAAACATCGATGTTTTTATAGAAACATGTATATTTTAAACATCAATGTATTAAAGACGATGTTTTTAACGTCTACGTTTGCGCTCGATGTTTTTACGTTTTCAATGTTTAGTTTGTGAATGAAAAATTCCCATAAAAACTATTTTGTAAAAGTTAGAAAATGAAACAATTGCCGATGGTACTGTTTATGTTAGTTTATGTAAACCAAACGAACACTGTGTCTGTATTACCTTAATCGGAGTATCTTTCTCCCGAGGGAAAATCTTAATACCCTAGTCTTTTTTCGTTCGTATTTCGCACATGGAGAGGCGATCAACTCATGAGTCGTTGTATGTCTCCCCTTTCCGTCATAAAGTGACATTTCGTATGAGGACATCATCTGAGTCAATTTTTGAAAGGTGGGCATTAGGGAGCAGAGGACATCCTCATAACATGGACCTTTTAATAATGGACAACCGATAAACGTTTACACTACTGTATTTTAGACGGTGTCTGAATTGACATTTGTAGGAAACATTTAGATAATGTAATAATAATAATAATAATAATAATAATAATAATAATAATAATAATAATAATAATAATAATCATTTATTGAGTCACACTATACATTCAATCGTGGCTATACCAGTCAATATGATGCCTGGTGAGAACAGCAAGTTTATATTACTGTTCAGACAAAACAAGGCCATCTCAGCAGTTGCCAATAAGATCAGGAACCTGAACAACTGATCGAGATGGTATTGACGCTAGAAAGACAATACTATGTTACAGTTTGATTAAGATACTATACGTAGATAATTTCATCTGCTAATAATTAACACTTTCAGATATATATTTTAATGCTACTACTTATAACTAATTACATAATTAATAATAATTACATTAATTAATAATAATTACTTATATATATGACATTAATTATAATAATTAATACCTTCATAATACATACTCAATATTTTTGCAAACTACATTCAAAATTTAACAATCATAGTATCATTTCATATTTATAACTTGAATTGGGAGGAGGCAAGTTATTGACCTAGTTTTTTCTCTCGTCATTCACAGATGTGATATGCATTCCTATTTTCTTTTCTCAGCTGAAACAGTTCACATGAAAACAGAAGGTCTAATGGAATAAAAATTCTTATTTATTTATATTTTCAACGGGAAATCGTAATTTGAATATTTCTTTACCAACGTACCAAACAGTTGAAGCATGGAAAGCTTTCAATTGCCTTTTAAAATTGTATGAATTCGTGTTATGTCTTTTGATACATGCCTAGTTTACGTTTTAAACTGTAATGCCTCTATTAGGGTACTTTTTTATAAAGTGTAGTTTCAGAGTCGGGAACGTTAGGTATCCTTTTGACGGTCTTTAGTTATGTACATCAGAATCTACAAAGTAAAAGTCTCTTTGGTTTCCATGAAGAATTTCTGGTGAAGACCACTATTTCAAATATGTACATACAGGTAGAGCGAAGGAATCCTTTAGTTTATTATAACAAGCGTTTGCAAGACTCCAGCTTATGATGTGCTGGTCAATTGTTTCGCAGTCATTCTTTGGATAATATAATGTTGGGAGTACTTTCAGGGGCATTTCCCCAAGAATATTTTCATATTTAGTGTGGATGCAACATTTGCAAAATACCTTGTTCAAGCTGTCCAAGTTGAGCTTGACCTGGAGGTGTATAGGGATATGCAAATTTGCTGAGCTTTTAGGTACAGATTTGAGATGTTGAAGTGTTCCATTTTAGGTTCCTTTAGAGTCTAGGAAGATAGTTATCATGAGGATATTGTATGAAACCAGGTTATTGTTATATAGCAAGTGCTGTGAGAGTTTTTCTTTAATCGAGATGTCAATTGAAATTAAGAGAGACTGTCTTGCTGGTGTTTATATGGTTGTCCTAAACCATTAGTTTCATGGTGATCTTGAAAACCCATTTTCTAGTGATTGGTGCCATGTTTTTGACTTTGACTCTGAATGATGTTCTTCTATGATGTCATCCTGGCAAACAAAATGATTTTGTTTGTCCTTAAGCCAAAACATGTCATTTACTGTAAAAGAATCGTATTTGAGCTCAAGACTGGATCCTTGTGGGGACTCCACAATTTAATTTGAGGACAACGGCGGCATATGAGAGATTTTTGCTTTTCTATTAGTGTGTTGGAGGCAACTATTTGTCTACAGTTTGATAATATGTTGTTGATCACATGGCCTGCAAATCTCAAATCCTAGCGATTACTAGTTTTCTAAAATTTTATATATGAGTCATATGATGTCAACGCTTTTTACAAACTTCTAAGAAAAGCACAATGGAATTTCCTTCTGATTTAGTGCAACAAGTAATTCATTTAACAAGGAGAATCTCGCATCATGAGATTCAGAGATTATAGTATCATGGCTAATTTAAACGGGAAGAATAATTCAAACCTTAAAGAAATAGCAGTGCCCTTGAAAACACCCATCATTATCGATCTTCAAAATAAGAAAATTCTGCGTTAATTTAGTATCACTGTAATCGTGACAGAAGCCAAATATTAATATAGAAGAAAATTGATACAGACACCTCTTTCCTTTTAAGGAGAGACATAAAGCCCTATTTCTTCCATGTTAATTTGGCTGTGCACTTGACCCAATATCTCAGAAATTAGTATTCAATGAAGTGCTGTAAAATTTTAGGAGCAGCTTGGTGGAAATGTTTTAAGTAAATACGAGCACATTTACATATTTTGAATAGGGTTTGTTTTTTACAGCATATTTAAAATAAAGGTGAAAAATTTACATTTTGTGTACTTTTATTCAGAAACCGTGAAGTATGAAACTTGACATTCCAAAAATTGAAAATTATCATCTCAGTAGTTTCAGAGACAATCGGGCAAATGTGTTCAAAAATGTAATTTTTCAGAAATCGAAGTTAAATCCTACGCAATCACCTCTTCACATGCTAACAAGTAAATTAAATACGTTTGCCACCTAAATAGTAATAGAATATAAAGTTTTGCAGTTCAATCAATAAAGAATGAACTTTTCTCTATAATTTAGTAAAAAGCAAAATCTTGTGGATGAATTAGTTCAAATTATTTAATGTAAATGAGAGACTGGTAACCAAAGTGAAAACCATTTTGACATAGTAATTATGTAGATGAAGAAAATAACAATAAATATGTTAAAAGAGTGCATTTCATTATCAAATATCATTTAATTCAAAAAACTAAATAGTTAGAAAATATTAAAATTCCAAAAGTTCAGATTTTTATTTATATCTTTCCTGAAAGGAATTTCGACATATTAATGAACAAAATTCTTACTACTACAATGTCATCGAAAATAGGGTAACTGCTGCACAGCGTATGACTGCAGTAGCCCGATTTAGTAATTTGTTTTAGCGCCAAGTTATACTTTGTCTTGTTACGTACAGAGCAGGCGTCGAGAAATTCATGGAATAAATATGTACAAACTTTTGACCAATCCTAATCTTCCTTTTCTTCACATCTTGGATTGTCTTAGCTGAGTTCTAAGCATAGACAACGTATACGTGAGTGTAAGTGCTGTGGTGCTCTGTGGCTTGTGAAGCAAGCATTCATTTTGTGACGTTGCTGAAGAATTATTGATTACTGTTTGTTTTGGAATTATTTATTATTGTGTAAAATTAACTTACTGTTTGCGATGATTACGTATGAAATGCCATTGCTTCTTCGCCTTATGACGAGGGTAACTATTTTTTATTCTTTCGTTGTGTGTTTTGTGATGTGTAAATGAAACCTATATAACATAACCTAATAATGCTTCCCCGATTGAAGCCAGAATTGGTATCAACATTGAAACGCACAGCCGGAATTATATTTGATCAAGGAGGAATTATAAGGCGATTAGATAGTTTGGGAACCAAAGATTTGCCCTATAGAATTAGCTCCCATGGCGCTGTTCATAGGCGTGCCAGGTATGATTCTACACCATAATCTGTTGGCAAGTTACTTATATCCGTTTTTATTTATACGTAGTATAATCTGATTGGATTTTTTTCAGCCAATTTATTATTGAATTTGTCGTTCCTCCAAGTTCCATCAAGATCCTTAAAGATGAATTTGAAAGAGATATAGATGTTGTGAGATCTCGAATATATAAAGTGGAAGAATTGACTCCCGTTGAGTGTACCTTACATGAAGAGATACTTCCTCCTGCATACAGGTTAGTGCCAATCTGTGTGATACTAAATTTGTAATTACATTTGATGCTCTAGAAGTGTAATTTGTTTTTCAAATTTTGCTGGTAATCTCTGCTTATAAGGTTGGATGATTTGTTAATAAAGGGAGTTACGGCATTTTTTGTGAAGGTATAATCTTCTTGCTTAGAGAATTATAAATGACAAAATATATATTTTTCATCAGATATTGACAATTGAAATGTTGTAAATTTAAAAGTTCTGAAGTTATCTCAGCTTTGCAATGATCACCAAAAATTTAATTTTCACTTTTCCTCAAACTTACCTTTATGACTTAACTCTCCCCAGCACCTTTGAATTGAGGTTGTTGAAAGCAAAATCAACAGTAAAATCGAGACATTTTCCAGTGCAAATAGGTGTAATTTTGTAGATAAAGTGTGTGAACAGTGTCCTAATTACTTCTTTTTAAAAATAATAGTAGATTGGCCCAATTTATCTCATTCTAATACTCAAATGTATTGATATGCTTCTTGTTTTAGCCTTTTTGTAATTACTGTAATATACGCATTGGAAACTAAGCTGAAGGTGCATGAACATAGCGTGAGAAGCAGTTGTATTTCAAAATTAGAGAAAGAGAAGGAATGTTCATGATATTCCATTAAATGTTTTCTAATAAACTGAGTAATGAGGAGAAAAATGTTTTTGTCACAAGTGAAATTTTTTTGTATGATAAACGTTTATACCAACTGCTGAAACTTGAAAGCGTACAAAGGAACGATATAAATGCAAAAGAAAGTTGAACTCGTGCTGATTTAATTTGTTCTAAATTGTAAAGCAATCGTTATGAGCTGCTCATAGGTTATACAAGGTTTCAGAGCCAGTAAAAAAATTATTTTGTAAAAAGGAGAAAATGTGATCAGTAATTTTTTTCTAATATTTTTATTTTAAAGGTATAGATTTCCCTCCGAAATTTAAAGTTGCTGCAATCCTTTTAGAATGTAATTTGCACGTTTTTAATTGGAAAAGTTTATTAATTTATTCAGTTGTATTTTATGTGTGTCGAATCATGTCTAGTATTGTTTGGTCTTAATTTTAATTTTGTTCATAAAATAATTAAAGATATAAAGGTTTCAACCTAGTTTTTAATATTGATAACTAGCTTAGCACGGCACATCCAGCTGGTATTTTCATGTTTAAAGGTGTGTTTTGCAAGTTAATAGTAAACAAAAATTTTAATCCATTACAATCACCTGCTTCATCTATTTTTGGGTATAGAAAGCTGCACAAGAAGTTGTGATTAAAGTACTTGTTTAGATTTTGTTTCATTACTTAATTAGATTTAGTTATCACAAATCTGTGGAATTGAATAACGATACATGTTAATGTCGGAAAGAGAATAATAACATTCTTTCACTCAAATTTTTGCATTAAACGCTCAGAAACCTATTTTTTCTTAGATTGTTTCCAGAATATCCTAGAGAGGAACTGGCTAAGAATTGTCTTAAGGGTCATCCATAAAGTAGGTAACTCTAAAGAGAGTGGAGGGGTTTTGAAGTAGATTCGTTCTGTATTATTTAGGGTGAGGAGAGTGTTGGTTTGATGTTACATTTCGCGTATATTTATTTTTTTAACTTTTGAACATTTGCTAAATTTATTAACAGATTATTTTTTAAATGTAAATAAACTAAAAAAATAGTATGTATAAATTGGTACAATAAACTGAAATATTTTTTCATCAATAGTTTATTGATTGACTCTGTTAGATTACAAAGAAAATATTCAATACTAATCTATAGTATATCCTAGAATCCAATTAAATTGTTGCAGTAGACTCTCACCCATGCGTCAATCACGATTTGTAGAAAATTTTCACCTCGATGTGTCTTCAGTCACTCAAAAATTGCCCCCAAACTTATTTTTAAGTGCCACCACCCTAGTCAAGTAATTCTTTCCTTCATTATCACAAATTTAAAAATATAGCACGAATAAAATTAATACAAATTGTTCTTACTGCAATATAATTTTTTTTACAATTTATAAAGGGGATGGGCGAGTGGGTAGCGTTATGTAATTATTTGGGTGGGCTTTGAGTGCACATTACAGCTGGGAGAGGGGGTATTCAAAATACTCCAAATTTGCAATACGTTCTTTATGGGTGGCCCCTTGAGAGATATCAAATGAGCTTTTGATCACTTCTGTAGGTTGCATCTTAAAAAAAACAACTTTTTTTGGAGAGTAGAAATTTCATATAATTTTCTGAATGGATTTGCCAAAAAATAAGATACTTATTGGAAGAACAAGTCGCATCAAATGAGATTATTTCTGTTAATGTTGTTTTGGCATGAAAATGCAAAGTTACGTGAACCATATCTGTGAAAATGTTGGATCAGCTTGTGTGTGCTGAAGCGCATCCCTCCCTCCCCCCTTGTTTGTGACCCTGTAATTGTTGAAAGGCAATAATAAATTAGTGGTGCTAGAATTTCTGGCGTTATTAACCTTCGCAATTTTCGAAAATTCATTGAAGTAGACAAAATTAAGTATTGGCAATTTTTAAAAGCAACAAATTGAAGAAAAAAAAACGAAAGAAAAAAACTGAAGTGCTTTTTGAGAATTTTTTTAAAAATAACGTACACTTTTTTTAAAGACCATTTTTTTATTACCAAATTTCATTGATAAGAAAAATATCTTAAATTTTTTAGTGATGTAAAAACGCGGAAAATGTTGAACTTGTGCAATTTTCGGTTTCTCATAGTTAAAAAAATATGAGACCCGCCCCACATTCACTTTCTTGCATTTACTGACGCAAGAAGAGAAAGTATTGCAATCGTGCGCCGGAAAACGGCGAATTTTCTACACAAAACCTCTTATTGCCGGACCTTGGTAGTGAAAAAGTAGATAAATCCAGTTGCTAAATATAAAAAAATATTTCTTTAACTAGTGGTGTAGCCAGAATCCATGTTTTGTGCGTCCTTCATACCGAGAAATCGATTGACAGCAAAATGGGGCCGTCCATCCATGTATCTGTGTAGAACGCTAGCGCATAAACCGTTCTGCCTGTTTCTCTAAAATTGATATTCTCGTTTCGTTCTAACTGATGACGCAGCCCCTGGGATTTGACACCGATGTTTTAATTTTGGGAGATACTTACACGGAGAACCTCGGATATTTTAAAAATTTTCGGGGGAAAATGGCTCCAATTTTTAGATTAAATTTTGTTGAATATTGCGAAGGACGTATAAGAGAATGGCCAGGTCTAAATTTCATTGAAATCCCCGATTTTTCGAAAATTGCAACAATAAAAAAATAAAACTACAAAATTGAAGATAGAGATTTTTGCCTCAAACGAAATCTGTTGTATTCAATTAACTATTTAGAAAAAGGTCATGTACAATTTTTTTTAAAACCTAGTAATGTTGGCATAATTTGCTCTTAAAATTTATGAGGGGAAATTGCCATGTATTTTTTATATGGCAGTGTTGATTTCTATGAAATTTTCTTTGAGAATTACCAATTTTACTTTGCTTCCACTAACAATCTAAAACAAGACAATAAATCACAAGAAAAATTAACAATGAAAATGTATGCAAACAGTGGTTTAATTAGGAGTCTATTCAATACTGATTTTGTATACATGAGAATTAATTACAGTTTTTAGAAGCCTTTCTGTGCACTATGTTTTCAGTACTGTTTACTGCCACACACAACTCATACACTTATATAAACCATGTGATCTCAATATCTCATTTATTAGAAAAATGTTGAATTCTACTTTACAATTTTTAAAACTATGATATTCTTACTAGGAGAACATGTTAAATAGAGTAAAGAAGTAATTAGCCATGGAAAAATTGGAAATTGCATTCTAAAATTATTATTTTTTATTTTAATAAAAAGACTGTAGTAGGATAAAAATTTAAATATTATATTATGTGGTTCATTCTTCCTCTTCTCAGTTTTCATTCTTCCTCTTCTTCTTTTTTTTTTCAGGAAAGATGTCCAGGAAATGGTGGAACTAGCTAAGAAAAAGTTCAAACCGAAGTTCAAAAACAATACTGGTTTGAGTTACTACCCATTCCAAAAGTGAGGTGCTCAAGAAAAGATGTGGTAGTGATTTATTTAGTGTGGTCTCTTTTCAATGATGAAAAATGTTTCATATCTATGACCGAATCGTAGACATTGATTGATTTTTTAAGAAAACAATATTTTGTATTTAGGAATCTAGTTGTGTGAATTTTCTATAAGCAAAATGGCATACAGTGTTAGTATATCTGTGGAAGCTCCTATCGAGAATCAGATACAAGAAATAACATATGATGGGCAAGAATTATATCAATCGCCTCTTTCAATGTCAGAAAATCTTGCCAGATTGGCTCAGAAAATTGATTTTAATAAGGTGATTCCCGAAGAAGTTGAGAAAGAAAACAGTGATTCGTTAGAAAAGAGTGATGATGAAAGTTCCTCAAAAGATTCTGCAGCATTTCAATCCTCATTGTGGCCATGGGATTCTGTGAGGAATAAATTGAGAAATGCATTGACAGAAGTGTGTGTTTTATCTGATGTATTAGCAATCGCTAAAGAAAAACGTTACATGGTACTTGACCCTGTGCCACAAGAAGGTGTTGAAACAAAACCAATGGTGCAGGTATATGCAAGAAAGAAAGCATTGGCTGGTGCTGCAACAGTACTTCTTACAGGTGCAGAGAGACTTCGTACCTCACAAACAGAGATTTCTCGAAATAGGACTACTCCAGATTTCCATATAGAATTATTGCGACTTCGTCAAAACTGGCGGCTCAAAAAGGTTTCAAATTCAATTATTGGTGATCTGAGCTACAGAACAGCTGGATCAAAATATGCACAAACAGGGATGTTTGAAGTAACTAAAGCCGAAGAAGAAAATCCCACCACAGGTAGCCCTCCTCCTTCCCCTGGCCCTGGAGGAGCTCCAAAGCCCAGTTCCGCTCTGCGCGTTATGGTACCAAGTGAGTTGCAAGGTGTTGCATACATAGAGGTCTTATGTCAGAAAGATCAAGAAGACTTGTGTAGTGCATCTATAAATGTTTTGGGTTCTGGACCAACCGCTACAAATCCGGATATTCACTGGCAGCAGAAACTTGAAGCCGCTCAGAATGTACTATTTTGTAAAGAGCTATTTAATCAACTTGCCAAAGAGGCTGTACAGTTACAAGCTCCCATTCCTCACATGGTTGTTGGTAACCAGATAATGGCAACTGTGTTACCTGGTATTCAGCTTATAATAAGTCTCTGTCACAGTACAGGAACTGATAAGAAACCTCCATCCCAAACCCCACCTCAAAAATCAGAACATGATCATGTGCTAGAGCATTCCTTGCACCAGCTTTTGCGAGAGGTCCATCATAAAAATACTCATCATCCTTTCCCACATCCATCCTCTGGACCAATTGGCCCTAGCAAAAAGCGCTGCCTCGCAGGGCCAATGGCTGCCGACAGATATGAACTTATGGAAATGATGAAGAGCCAGACACTCTTGGAGCAAATAATCCAACAAGCCCAGCATTTCTTTATGCGTCTAAGAACAGAATATGTGCTGGATACAATTGCCAAAGAAGTAAAGGATCCACTAATTGTCTCTCATTGGAATGCATTGAATTCACCTACTCAGTCTTGCGTAAAAATCAATATAATGACTCATGGCTATGATTCTGTGTGTCGTACCTCCCTTATTGTTCATGTTGGAGAAAAGTCTTTAAAATGTGTTTGTAGGGATGGACGTGTAATGCACATGTCATATGAACCTCAGGAATTGAGAGATCTAATTTTTTGTCAAATTTATCAACATCAGATAACTGCAGTTCAAGCATTAGCAAAATGCATGGGGTGGCAGTTCTTAGCAAACAGTTCTCATCTGGGTCTAGGAGCAGTAGAGCCTCTGGGTAATGCCAGTAGTTGCATTCTTGCTTCTCCCATCGGAGACAGACTGATTGCTGTGCGGTGTGAACCTCATATGGGGGTGCAAGTGGCCATAGCACAATCACCTCGGAAAGACTTTTTCCCCGGACAGCTAGTGAAAGAACGGAAGTGGGAGAACTTGGGAGGAAGTTTTAAAGAAGTGCGTTGGGATAAAATGGAGGGTAAAAACTTTTTGAATAAAATGGAATTGTTAATGGCAAGCTTAACTAGCTCATAGTTTTGTGTTCTTTTTTCATTCTCTGTTTTACATATTAAAAGTTAAATTATTAACATGTTTTGGTAATTGTTTTCTGTATTTTCATTAAACAAATTGATTTCAATAAATAGTTCTGATAGTGTGAAACATGTCTAATTTCTAACAAATATATATTTACAGATTTTGTTTATTTTGAAATGTGTATGGAAATAAGGTCAGTTATGCTTTGGATTTGCTGCACAGTTATACTGCCAACTTAAAAGTTGAAAGGAAGAAAATAATATGATTTGAACATTTGTTTCATTGCATTGGATAATAAAAGTAAAAATTTCAAGCATAATTATTTCAATGAAGAAATGTTTACAAGTTTAACTTGATGCAATGTAGCTTCTACATCTAAAATATACTGTTCTTCAAATGTGTACATGTGTGTGTATGTTTAAATTATCATTTTTCTATACTGTCTTGTGTAATTTTTGGATAGATAAATTAAATACTGAATCGTGAACAATTGGTGAATTAGTCTTGTGTTCAAAATTCCCTAAGATAGTAATGTTCCTAATTTTACCCCTATGTTGAAAGAATAGGTTTCATGATAGTCATGAAGTCTGTAAGATAAGTCTTACACTCTTATTGGTTGTTTATTTGTAGATAATAGACCTTTGTGAAAGCTGATTGCTTATTATTAGAGCCTAAAATTTCTGGCAGTTATTTTACCTATAATAGGCATGCAAAAGGTCATTTATTCTTTATAAAATAAGAGGTGCAAAAAGGTACGTACACAAAAGGCAATTGACCATACACAATCACCATTTAAAAGGAATTATTGAAAGAAGAAAAAAAAGAATTTAAATGATTCAAATGCTTATTTTAACTCAACTTTTCATCAGCATTTACATAAGAAAAGATCTTCGTAATCTAGATTGCACATGGCCACCAGATTTTATTTTGCACACTCAGTCTTTCAGAAAGATTCTTTTTCAGTTCTACTACTGAAAATTACTCTTAGTGACTCATTAAATTTCAGTGTGATGACTACAAATGTGTTTTTCTTGCACTCTATCTCCACAAAATGCAATTGTGGACTTTTTTATACTCTGGATTGGAATCAGTAAAACTGTCATTATTGTTTTCATTCTTTGCTCTTGTGTAATCACCAGAATTGGGAAGGGCTGCATCTTACAGGCGTGTTTAAATTATTAGACTAGCTTTAGATTTATTTAGTCAAAATCAGTAAAAACTGTATGTGTGTGACATGAGGTAGAAGATCAAAGATATTTTTTGTAAAAGATTTGCATTTATTACACATTTACATTTGTGTACACGTTAGTCCTACAATTAATACTTGCTGTTAGGGTTCATGCCTTTGTTATTAATCAACAACTTTGTGTTTGGTATAATGTTTACCGTCTTTATACCTGAGTTTTTAATTTCTTTGCCATGGTAAAAAATCTAGTTTGTCCACAACTTCTTGTATTTTTCCTTATCCTTCTCCTGGTAATACCCCATAAATTTTCTATAGAGTTCAAGTCTGAGCTATTCCATGGCTGTAGTACGCTTTAAACTGCTTTTCTTTCAAATTCTTGAAAACACCCTAGTCTTGATGATACTGTGCTTCATCATGCATAAAAATGCCATCTTTATTAGGAAACCGCTCCAATTTGGGGAAAAGTTCCTTGTCAAGGATTTTCTTGTATTAGTATTGCCTCATTGTCCCTTCGACAATGTGCAATCTGACGTTTCACAGACATCATACTTAACAGCTTTTCTCTCCAATTATATCAATGAACTTGGGGAAGACGTCCTTTTCTCATAATTTGAATACATCTGCATTTGTTTTATGGAGAGCTCTGACCTCGAAAAGGATAGGAGACATAAAGGTAGGTAGAATTGGTCACTTCGTTGGTGAACAGTCTGACAGCATTAGTGAAAGAAATAAAAATTCTTTACCCTTGTGTTTTCTTCTTTCGATTTTTAACACTTCCTGACTCTGGAGTCTCTGCTTACAGAGGAAGATAAAACACGACACTGCCTTCTCGTTGTCCAGACTTGCAGGTATATTACCAGTTTGGTCGAGATCGATACTAGACGAAAAGAAGTAATGGAGAAAAGGAATACGTCAAAGTAAGACAATACTAAAAACTAGCTTAGTCTTGCAGGATCGGCGGCAGGCCACTTGACTTAACTCCGGGATTTATAGTCTCCGAGCGTTGTGATCGCAGAACTCGTTCAATTTATTGTAGTGGATTAATTAAAATCGCAAGAAATACAATTTCAATTCATCTATCCATTGGTTTAAAAGTAAAAATCAATTGATTGGTTGAAAATAATTTTAGAGACAACAGAAAACATTGCAATTTTTTAAAATAAAGGCAGAAAAAGAGTGTAAAGGAATTTAAAATCAACTTTTTAGCTGTATCAATAAAAATAAAATGATTTCAACCGATACTGGTAACATTGAATTATAACACAATATTGAAATCAACCTTATTGGAATCTGTAATAATTTAAATGAACCTGCAGTTTATCAGTTAGCTCAGAAAATACTATACAATGCAAAAAGTTGATATTCCAGAGTTACGGAAGAAAGCACAAAACTATGCGTAAATGAAACAATTCATTTCGTTCCTGTTGTAATACCATTTATAAATACGAATGTAAGGCATATTTATTAAACACAATTAACATGTGGTTTTAATTTCATTATACAAGAAAACGTGACTGCTAAACAAAATTGATGTGGGTACTGTGCTTCCTTGTGTAATAACCTCTTTACGTCACTGGGCACAACTTATTGTTATTTATTATTAATAAACAGTTGATGCAGTCGCCATGGCGTATGAGCCTAATCAACTTGCCCTATCGCCACACACAGTTAGCAATAAATCGAAATACTTAACGTATTATCATATTCTACAGGTGTACGAAGGTTTCCTTTTATGTTTCGGGATTTGGCAACCCTGGTGTTGCAATCTGGCAACTGACAGCTCTATCGTAAGTTGGATGTTTTGAGGTTATACTCAGAACGTTTTGACATACGAGCCTATTTGTATGTTTACAGTAACTTAATAGATTCATCTTGGCCCAAAATGGAATTAAATCCGTGAACATTTTCGTGCGATTATTTTTTACAACTTTCGACGTGGATTAACTCAGCAACAGTGCATGGATGAACTAATTTCAATTTTTGGCGATGAAGATCCATCAAGGACCAGTTTTATCGGTGGTATGGTGAATTCAATCGTGTCGTAGTTCACTCAAGACGAATTTCGCGAAGGTCGTCCAAAATCAGTTGTTGTTCCGAAAACCATTGATGCTGTGCGTGAACTGATATTGCAAGTTCGTCATGTGACCTATCGTGAGATTGAGACAACTTTAGGCATTAGTGGGACCAGCATACATTCAATATTGCATGACATTTGACTGTCAAAAAAAATTTGTTCGCGTTGGATCCCACACAATTTGTCAATCGCTAACAAAAGACTCGTGTCATTGATCGAAAAAATGCTCAAAAAATACGATCGCGGTGCTTCGAAACACGTCTATGACATCGTAACAGGTAATGAACAACGCAGAACAGTAAATTCTGAGTGGTACACAAGGATTTGCCAGCTGTCTTCCAAGAAATCAGGAAAACAACGCCGAAGACGGATCACTCTTCACCACACAATGCGAGCTCTCGCACATCGGCTCAAACAACTAACATTTTTGAGCACCCAAAACATCGATTTGATGAGTCATCCGCGTATAGTCCTAACTTGGCACCAAATGACTTCTTTTTATTCCCGTACGTAAAAAAACAAACTGAGAGGTCAACGTTTTTCGACACCTGAAGAAGCGGTTTGCTGCATTCAGAATGCATGTTTTGGAGATACCTCAATCAGAGTGGCAAAAGTGCTTCGACAATTGGTTCAAACGCATGCATAGTGTATAGATCTTCATGGGGAATATTTTGAAATCAATAAAGTGATTTTCGGTGATTAATATTTGTTTTGTTTCTCTAATCCTTAAATAAAATTCAACCTCTTTTGATCATAACATCTTGCTCTCAAAATTACCTAATATAGTAAATAATATGTATCACTGACAATAAACAAAAGTAATCGAACAACTAAAACATAGTACTTCGTCAGGAAGAATGACAGGAGAAGCAAATTTTGTGTTATCGTTTCGACCGCTCTCCCAAATTGACAGTACCGTCGTGAACCTGATGCGAGAGGGGCATTGACCAGGGCGGCAAAATTAGAATACTTATTTAAATCCAATAAAACAAACAAATTTGTAATTATATTTGTAAAGAGCGATATACTTTAGCCCTGCGGTTAGTAAACGTCGTATAGAATAACCATTGATATCAAAAAAGTTTCATATTTCACCGAACACATAAAATAAAGAAACAGTATTTAGAGCGAGATTGTTCTGTCCGTTCGTCCGTCTGTGGCCAACGCTAGCGCCAAACTGTTGTTTTCATTCCTCATCGATCTGGAGGAACTCGAGACCCTGCGAGCTCGAAACGGATATGTCGATTTTGTACAGTATTTTACATCAAGACTCAGCAACATTTTGTCAAAGTGACTTCAATTGTTAATGAAACATCCTTAGACCAGCGAAACGTCGCGGATCTCATTATCGTCAAAGTTCTTCATTTTTCGAGAATTGCCGAAGATCAGATTTTTTTCGGTCATCTTCTACGACTACCATATTGAAGTTAGAGATTTATATCAATAAAATCTTGTTGAAAGAAGATCTTGGAAATATGGTCAGAAATTTCAGAAAGTGTGAGGAACTTTCATGTGCTTTTGCATAAAACATAAGAGAATTTTTAAACAATGACTTTTCTCAAAAAACACTCAATTTATTCCTCGTACGTAGAATTAGAAAAAAATGTGCTTCTCTCTTTTTCCGGCGATCAGCTGCACATTGCAAAACCAAATTCTCTGTATTTTCGAAAACTAGCAAGAAATTAACGCTGCAAAAGTACATGTAGAGATTTAGATTAAGAGGTAGAGATTTTTGTTCTTCAATTTAAAATCAGTTCTTAAAACTAAACTTTAAGACAACGATCTTAAACATTTTTTTTTGAAAAAATGAGTAGTTTTCATGTACTTTCTGATTGAAATTACTACAGCTGTAAAAACAATTCCCTTAAACTTCTCCAATTTTTTAAAATTTTTTTCTAAATAGAATAAAGAACCTTAAAAAAATGGCGCAGGCCTAATTTTCATTGAACTTTTCAAGACTTTTCAATTTAAAAAATTGTTCGTCTTTGTCTATCGCAACGCGTCTCTGAATTCTTGTTGGAGGTGGTGCGCCTGCACAGAGTAATACTCTGTTATATTTTTGTAAAGACAGTCACTCACAGGACGCTCTGCACCAGAGAGTATATTCTGCACCTGATATCCTTTCGGCCCGAGGGTTTGGAGCCGTTAGATCCGCAGGTATCTTAACGACCATCCAACTAGGAACCCACGAAGTCTCGAATTCGCTAGCCTTCATGAGTTCACAGAGGGTAGTAAAGAATTCGGCAAGCAAGCCGGCAAGCGAACCGGCAAGCGAAGCCGGCAAGCGAAGCCGGCAAGCAAGGCCGAAGCCAGCGACGCAAGCGAAAGCCGGCAAGCGAAGCCGGCAAGCGAAAGCCGGCAAGCGAAGCCGCAAGCGAAGCCGGCAGCGAAGCCGGCAAGCGAAGCCGGCAAGCGAAGCCGCAAGCGAACGGCAAAGCGAAGCCGGCAAGCGAACCGGCAAGCGAAGCCGGCAAGCGAAGCCGGCAAGCGAAGCCGGCAAGCGAAGCGCAGGCGAAGCGGCACGAAGCCGGCAAGCGAAGCCGGCAAGCGAAGCCGGCAAGCGAAGCGGCAAGCGAAGCCGCAAGGCGAAGCGGAACGAACGCAAGACAGCCGGCAAGCGAGCCGGCAAGCGAAGCCGGCAAGCGAAGCCGGCAAGCGAAGCCGCAAGCGAAGCCGGCAAGCGAAGCCGGCAAGCGAAGCCGGCAAGCCGAACCGGCAAGCGAAGCCGGCAGCGAAGCCGGCAAGCGAAGCCGGCAAGCGAAGCCGGCAAGCGAAGCCGGCAAGCGAAGCCGCAAGCGAAGCGGCAGCGAAGCCGGCAAGCGAAGCCGGCAAGCGAAGCCGGCAAGCAAGCCGGCAAGCGAAGCCGGCAAGCGAAGCGGCACAAGCGCAAGCGAAGCCGAAGCGAAGCCGGCAAGCGAAGCCGGCAAGCGAACCGGCAAGCGAGCGGCAAGCGCGAAGCCGCAAGCGAACCGGCAAGCGAAGCGCAAGACGCAAGCGAAGCCGGCAAGCAAGCCGGCAAGCGAAGCCGGCAAGGGCGAACCGGCAGAAGCGCAAGCGAGCGCAAGCGAAGCCGGCAAAGCGAAGCCGCAAGCGAAGCCGCAAGCCGAGCCGGCAGCGAAAGCCGGCAAGCGAAACCGCAAGCGAAGCCGGGCAAGCGAAGCCGAAGCGAAGCCGAAGCGAAGCCGCAGCAAGCCGGCAATCGAAGCCGGCAAGCAGCGAACCGGCAAGAACGCAAGCCGGCAAGGAGCGGAAGACCGGCAAGCGAACGCAACGAACCGGCAAGAACCGCAGAGCCGAGCGAAGCAAGCCGGCAAGCCGAGGCAAGCGAAGCCGCAAGCGAAGCCGGCAAGCGAAGCCGGCAACGAAGCGCAAAGCGAAGCCGGCAATGCAAGCCGCAAGCGGCACCGAGGCGAAGCCGGCGTAAGCGAAGCCGGCAAGCGAAATCCGGCAAGCGAAGAGCCGGCAAGCGGAAGCCGGCAAGCGAAACGGCAAGCGAAGCGGCAAGCGAAGCCGGCAGCGAAGCCGGCAAGCCGAACCGGCATATCGAACCGGCAAGCGAACCGGCAACGAACCGCAAGGCCAAGCCCGGCAAAGCCAAGCCGGCAAGCGAGGGCCTCTATATCTCGAAGCCCAAGCGAAAGCCGGCAAGCCGACCGGCAAGCAAGCCGGCAACGAAGCCGGCCCAACGAAGCCGAAGCGAAGCCGCAAGGAACGCAGGCAAGCGAACCGGCCAAGCGAAGGCTCTCAAGCGAAAGCCGGCAAGCAAGCCGGCAGCGAAACGGCTCGGGCAAGCGAGAGCCGGCAGCGAAGCCGGCAGAGCGAAGCCTGTAAGCGACGCGGCAGCGAACCGCAACCGAAGCCGGCAAGCGAAGCCGGCAAGCGAAGCCGGCAAGCGAAGCCGGCAAGCGAAGCCGGCAATCGCTAATGTTCGAAAATTGCGAGAAAATATGATACGTTTTACCACTACTAGTTCTACCAAAGTTACGTTTCGCTATTTACAACAGTGGCAGTCGTAGTGGTGCACGAGTACGCAAAAACTATTGGAGCACGTTTTCACTTTTTATTCTTAATTATGACAGTACATGTAAAAATGCAAGGTGACACCAAATCAGGTCGGGCTCAGCTTAAAACGTCATAAAAGACGGCTGAAATATAATAATTTTGACACAGCAAATGTCCTTACACACTTTTTGATATCTCCTACTGTTTTCGAGTTAGGGTGCACTGTTTGAGCATGTAAAGTAAAACATTGCTCTGGAGGTATGAAATGGTTATTTGGAGCAAATTTTAGAAAAGTACTCCGAAAATCCATCTTACATTTTGACGAAATTTTGCATGCCGAGTTCCACATATCTCAAAGGAACTTCTAGTGGCTTTATTGAGGAAATGATTTTTGATAAATATTGATCTGTTTGAGACCGTTTTACAGTATGACCATTAGACTTTCGCAACTTTGGGAAAAAATATTTCATTCTAAACATATAAAACTGAGCTCACTTGTACAATTGTTTGTTCAATTAATTTGAACTAATATTAATTTTCCATTTATTAATACACAATGGTTAAATTTCAGCAAAATACAACCTCTACATATCCCTAATTTATTGATATATATATATATATATATATATATATATATATATATATTATAAGTTAATTTGAAGTTACATTTATGCCCAGAAGCAAAACAAGGAACCATCTCAGCATTTGCTCGAGGTTCAGGGAAACTGAACGAAAACCTGATCGAAATGGAAATCAAAATAATCTTACAGGGACATTCCCTAATATTACCATGATATTGCAAATTTTATTAACTTTGCCAGTAACAATAGCTAATGGAGAAAGATAATTTCCAAAATTAAAAATTATTAGTCTAAAAATATCCTACGATCAACCATGTCAACCAATTTTATCAACCGAAAGTGAAATCTGCAACAATATTTATATAAAGAGAATCATAAAAAGATCTGCAAGTTTGAAAGTTCGAAAAAGTTCCTTATTTTATATTGTACATAGATATTTAATAAGTCTCTAATAACACTTCAATAAATACTATATTAAACAACCACTCTAACTTTTCTAGTATTAAAAGTAAGTAAATTATTCCTTTTTAAAGCAACGAAATGTACTTGCACTAGGGCGGCAAACCCATTCGCTATGGCCCTGCTTATTGAGCTTCAGAAAAAGGAACAAAATTCTTACTTATGAAAATTCGTGCTGGCAAGGTAACGCTAAACATATCACACCCGAAAATGATGTTCTCTGTGCAGGACGTCGATTCAACGCAAGCCTTAAGATGATTCCGTTAGCCTAAAAACGTTAAAAATATTATGCAAGATCATGAATGCATCGTGGTAAAAATTTCTGAAACTGATTTTTTTCCAAGTGAACATTACAAATAGACCGCGCAAAAATACAGCCAATATAAAAGCTGAAAATACGTACGGCATGAAGGAAGCTTCCCTGATTACTCCTCTCAAGGTTGGTAGGGGTCATGGTCGGTGTCGATACCGGAGTGCGGCCAGATGAACAGATGAAGTAATTGAATGTCGATGGATTAGACTTAATTGTATTGTTTGTCACGTACGTTGTTAATTGACATTGTGGTAGAAGACATCTCATGTTTCATGTACTTGGTCGTAAAAGCTATTGCATATTAGAATAAAACGAAGTTTAAAGTTCGTTGCAATATCTGTGATCAGTAAGTATAAGTCTTATAATTTATAAAAATACGTACTGTCTTGCATAAAATTGTTCTCTGTGAAGTAGTTTCATTGTTGAAGTATAGTAATTCACTCATGAAAGTTAAGTTGTTTGAGCGTGAAGGTTGTGTAGTGCCCTAGGCAGGTAACTGCTTAGGTATTAATATCTAAGCTACTGTTCCAGTATTTGCATTTTGTATGTAACTACTGTTTTCTAATTTAAAGAGGATAAATTCGCTAATTTAAGTTTGAAAAATGCACGTTGATTTGTTATATGCTCATCTCTTTTTGTTTTTACTGATATTTCAGTTTCTGTTCTCAGATTAGTAACAAGATGTTAGATTCATGGTACAATCGCTCAGTACATCAGGGAGAAGATGAGGATGAAGAGGAGGAAGAAGAAATAGAGAGCCAGGAAGAAGTTGTTAATTACAAAACTCAGTACAGAAACTTGAAAAGGAAACTGAAGTATTTAATTTATGTAAGTACAAGGGTTTTAATGGAAAATAATTCATATATTTTTAATGAAGTTAATGAATATGAATTGAATAGGAGAATGAATGCTTCCAAGAAACACTGAAAAACATGCAAAGGCAACTCTTGAAAGCAACAAGAGACCGCAGTTTCCTCCTAGATAGATTACTTCAATATGAGAAAGTAGATGTGACAACTAGTGAAAGTGAAGAGACTGAATCTTCTGATGAAGCTGAAACTCCTCGACCTGATCCAGTGAGGAGGTGTGTAAATAGTTAATTTAATCTAAATTTTGCAAACAATTTGTTGCATGCAGTGCTTGCCTGTATGATCAATTTTGACATTCAAGCACAAATGAGCAAACATTCGAAAGGTGACATTTCCGTTTGGAAAAACTTGAGTTTTGTTGCTTTTATCTTGTCACATTTTTTTCTGAAAATAGAATTCATGTGTTACCATACTTCAAGTAGTACTCAATTTGAGTTAAAGAGGATGTTGAAAAGTTTAAAATTTGTGATAAAATTTTTCATTTTTATTGGAAGAGGAGTCAAGTAATGGAGTGAAGTGGACAAGTCACATTTTGAATGTTTGCTCCTCAAATATTTCTGTTAACATAAAGAACAGGATGTTCCAAGCTCAAACTTGGATTTATTTTCACAATTCTAATTAATCTAATTTTCCTTTTTTGCTCTAGTAACCCCATATGAGCAAATAACTTGACGTGTTTCGTTTTAATTGTAGGAAGAAACCAGAGTCAAACGTAAACAGTCACAGTGCATCTGGCCAATCCTCGGGCAGTGGATCAAAAGGGCAAAGTGCAGTAAAGAAACGAAGACCTAACCCAAAGTCGTCTGCAAAGCAAAATAGTGTGCCTCCTGTAAGTGAATTTCATCTTTCAGCATTGTTGTGTGAGTCAATGTGGCTTACCATTTGTACTATTTCCAAAGCTTTTGCCTATTTCCATAATGTGCATTTTTTCTCACTATCCAAAACAAGGTAATAATCTGTTTGTTGTGATTAGCATGCAAAATTGCGGCTGAGTTGCATTGATGGGTATATTATAATATCTTTAATGGTTATTGCAATAATGCTTGAGTTTTCATTGTGTGCAAAAATTCTGTGGTAACTGTATTCTCTAATGCTTTTGCAAATTTTTGAAAGGTGATTGCTTCTTTTGGCAATGCCCCAGCTTACTAAACCCTTCTGGAAACCCCATTTTGGAATACAAAGGTTTTTATGACTGGTGATAGCTACCCCTTTTACTGCATGTAAAAACATATCCTAATATTATACAAATTATGACATGTAGTTGATACCTGCACCAAGGTATTGCTATTAACTACGTGCTTTAGGGCATCCAAATTGAAAGTAAAACTGGTTAACATCTAAATTTTCATTATATAATGGCCAGTAATATTGTTCTCTGTATGGTAAATTTTGTAATTCATAACATTCAAACGTACTGAGATGATTTGCAGAAATAAACCATAAATGTGTACTAGTAATATTAATTATATTCTTTAAAACTGAAACCTTACTTTACCTTTTGTGAAATGTAAAAGTAAATTGTTGAAAAGTAAACAACTGAAATTCAGTGAAATTCCTTTTTTGTGACATTGATTAAAAGTTAGTGATCAAGAACATTGAATTGCAATATCAAATTTTTGCTTTCTTCCACAAAAAGCTTAAAGGATTTTTTCAAAATTCTTGTAGATATTTGCAATGATCACTGGTGTTTTGTAAAATTTTCCTTTAATTTCAGTTAAGCTAATTGACCCGCACTTACACATTAATGGATTTGTTTTGACATTCCTCTTTTATTTTCTGGATGCTCTAACATATTCTGTTGATGTTGTAATTTTTTTTTTTTTTTTTTTTTTTTCCAAAGTAAGAATTTATGTTAGATGTTTTATCAAATTTTTGCTGACAAAAGCTTAGTGATAGGATAATAGTTGCAGGTGTTTGGAAATGTACCCGTTTCAATGTTACCTGATGGCCATATGACTTCTGAAGAGGTAGACCGACATTTGGAATCTCGCCAGTCCTACATGGAACCTGTTCCTGAAAAGGCCCTGTCTTATGTTCCTACTGAGATGTTCAGTAATGATCCCTCCTTAGACAGGTGGGATCTTTCATCATTTCTGTTTGACCATGTTTGACTGGTGTGCATGTTGGTTGTGATGTATTGGAATGTTCTGCATCATCTGTGATTTTCTAAGCTTTAAGAATGTTATATTCGGAAATATTTCCTTTCCTACTACTATTATGTTTGCTAAGAAACTTATTTTATTTATGCATGTTTGGGTTCTTAAGTAATCTGTTATACAAAAAATTCCTAGAATTTATAGTAAATTCTATGCATATGTTTAGTGAACCCAACTATCATGGTTTCCAACATGTACTGCAACATTTTGTTTGAGCAGTTTTTCATTTTTTGTTTTTTTGCAATGACATTTAGACTGCAAACTTATGTTTGAAACTATTGTAGATACTGTGAAACATAATAAAAGCATATAACATTACTGTAATGAACTATCTAGAACTGGTAAGTCAATACAGTGTTGTTGGTATTTTTAAAATCCTGCACCGCGGGATTGTAATTCCTAGTCTGAATATTTTTTTCTTTATTTAAAATATTATGTATTATTCATTTCTATTAATCAACAGCAGTACGAGAACAATTTTCAGTTGCCATTTAATTTAAGTTATTGGATTAGTTTTTCTTAGAGTGTTGTTTCTGACACCAACCATTGGTATTATTCTAGGAATTTTTTGACAACTATATCATTCTTTCACTTGGTGCTTAATCTAACATGGTGTAACGAATAAAAAAACAATCCATTGGTCTGTTATGTTGTCAAATTTCATCCAATGAGCATTGTGGCATGTATTTCAGGTTTTCCTTACATGAAAATAACACCTATTGTTATGTGGAAATATACCTTTTGTGGAATACAATGTGCATGTAGCATTAATGCACTCGCAGCTTAGTTTGTTAGCACGTTCTGTGTTGATTTTGTGTTTATGTTAAAAATGTATTTATACTTGTTTGCTCTGTATAATGTGTTGAAATATAAACATCTTAAAACAGGACAAGTATTTATATTAACACTCCTTCCCATTGCTGATAAATTATTTTTATTTTTATTTTTTTCGATTAAATTAAGATTGCTTTGCATGTAGCTTCCTGAAAGATACATTTCTGTAACTCCTACAAATCAACATTATTAATTACAACTTCTTTTGCAGTGAATCCAATGAAATATTTGAATTAGAAACCTCTCCAAGCAACATGGGTGAAGATTGCTTGAGTGTTGACATGATACCAGAGTGAAATCTGTATTAAAAAGCAGTATTTATCATGTTCATGCATAGAAATGACACACACTTCGGTGGAGTATTGATTTTTATCCATAAATGTGTGCAATAGAAATGCTGATAAACGAGATGTTACATTGTACTCAAAAGGTGCAAGTTTTCTTATCAAGTTTGTATTGACAAGCTTGCAGAAATTACAAAAGATTGCAGTGTTAAGTTCTTGTGAATCAATGAACAAACTTGTCAGAAAATAATGTTCTGATGTAAATGAATTCATGTATGTTAAAATACTGGGTGTATTTTAAATTGTAGATCAGTTTTTTGTAATAAAGCTGTATTTTTTACCTCTTTATTTTAAATGTTTAGTGAGCCTTGTATGAAAAGAATTTTAATTAAGACAAACTTGTGTGAATGCTACATTATGACAATTCATTGGAAGTGAGTTAAAATAGGATAATTGTGTTGTAAAATTATTTCAAATGCAAGGGGGAGAGTTGCAACATCACAGAGGGTGGTGATGCCAAATATAGAAGTCCTGGAATTTGTCAGAGAAATAGACAAAATGCTTCTGTGGATCAGGTAAATTGTGAATAACTGAAAAACTAAAAAGGAATTATTTTGTATTATATATAATATAAATACAAAAAATAATTCATTTAATATATTATATATATAATATAAATATTAATATATTATATATATAATATATATAATATATATATATATATATAATATTATTATTTATATAATATATATATATAATATAAATTTTACACAATTTACCTGATCCACAGAAGCATTTTGTCTATTTCTATATATACACACACTAGATTCAAGGGCTATTGAAGGTATAAAATTCGTGCTATTAAGTATTATTAGGAATGAAAGAATGCTATTAAGTACTACTCCTTCAGGAGGAACTACTACTATGAAAACATGGGAAAGAATATAATTTTCTAACCCATTTCCTTGCAAACCCTTTCTGAAAACCTGTGTAAATGACGAGCTCTGTCATAAGGAATTAAAAAGGAAAGGAAATTGGGCTATTAAAATTTATTTTCTATATTGAATGTTAGTCACAGTGAGGCAAATCTCTATTGTTAAACATTGAATGACCAACAATTACTAAATAAAAGCTTATCCCACAGAAAAAAAAGAATGAAATGTATGAATGTCAAAGAAAACTTGTTGGTTTTCATTTTTTTTTTTATTTTTAATTAGCATTTTGTTATTGTGTTTGAGATTAGAAATTTCCATTATAATCTATTATTTGCACTGTTGGTGTAGAGGATGATGTAATCAGTAGAATTTAATAATTGTAAAGAATGAAGATGAAAGCAAATATTTATTATAAATTCAAACCAAATTGAGAAATTTGTCTCATCTTAAATAAGGATGAGGTTGATTGCTCCTGGCTAAAAATGCCAATTGCAAACTTTAACATTTTTAATCAAATTAGATAAAGAATGCTTGTACTAATGCTTATTAAATTATTTATGAAACCCATCTAAAAGGTTACAGCTAGAAGAGAAAGGAAATAACATAGGAAAAATAAATATATCCATAGAGATAAATAAGAGCAGTATAATAGCGCGATACCAGCCAGCGAATAGTTTATTAATATTTATAATTAATTGGGTCATAAAACTGGAAAAATATTATTCACCGCATCGTTGCAGCCCCATTAAAAATATTTGGAGGTTATGTCACATTTACTTCACTCATCAATAATATGTAACATTACAAGCTGTTCTGAAGTGATGCTGAATTAAGTACTTCGCAAGATGTGAAAATATCGAACTCGCGAATGGGCACGTCTACAGATACTTTCTATTGGAATTTCACGAGTAAGCTTTTAGGCGTTACCATTTTGTAATTTCAATACAATCGATCGCGATAGCATCAGAAGGTAGCAGCAACGGAATGTCAGCAGAACTCTCAGACAGCAAAGTCGACGCGGATCGCTCGAAAACTTGGTCCGACGAGGAGGTATTACAATTAATAAAATACTACGAAGAGTTTGCGCATTTATGGGATTCCAAGCATCCGTATTACAGGAACAAAGATCAAAAAGCGAAAGCGTTAGAAGAATTAAGTAGACGTTTCGATTGTTCATCCCAAGAAATACAAAGAAAACTTCACAATTTGCGAAATCAGGTTGTTTATCATTTTGTGAATTTGTTACTGAATCTCTAATTGTCACATAAATTCCTAAGAATTGCTATTACACTTTCTTGTTTTTCTTTCTTTTTTTTATAACATTAAATGGTAAAAAAGGTAAACCAAGAGATAAATAAGATCAAGATCAGAAGAAGTAAAGGAGGAAGCGAAGAAAATTGTACAAGTAGCTGGAAGTATTTTTCTGCATTACAATTTCTTTTGCCTTCCATTCAAAGTAAGACTCCTCAGCCAATTCTGGTGAGTAATTAAATTATTCAGATGGATTCATCTATTGAAATGATAAAACATACAATCATAAAAAAGAGGCAACAATTAAGAAAATTAAAACTATTCTCATACCTAGTTTATGGGATGTTAACTGTCAGTAGACGACATCCAAGCATTGGGCAAAAAGTCTTTGGGATCTTAATGGGCAATTTTAATATTATGGGAGAAAAATAATTTAACAAGGAAAATGAAGGTACTTCTGTTGAAAGAAGCCAAAAATAAATTGCTGTTTTAATATTTTAACATTTACATTTAAAAAGTATAAACAATCTGGACCCATTGAAAACCCTGCACTTCGTAAATAATAATTGTTTGAAAATTGATTTAAAGTAGAACCCATCTGTGAATAGCCATCCCCTGAATTGTGTTATACCATTACCTGGTACTGTACGAGTGAAATCAATCCTATGTAGCTGAGCATTGACATTAATGTGCACAAAAACTCCTATGGTCTTTTTAATTTCATTGTGAAAGATTATTGTAGTAATTTTTCCTTGAAATAAATTTTACATTGATTTCAGCTTCTGCACATTTCTAACCACCCATCTATGGAATATGCAGTCATTTTCAAAGTATATTACAATCATAAGTGGTTTTCAATGTGGAAAATGGGTAAAAATACTTCATTTTTTTTACTTCAGTCCAGCTAAGCCTTCAAAAAAATCTTCAAAAAATTCACAACCAGTGTTTTGAGGGTAATTTTTGAGATTTTGTCCATCCTTGTACCTGTGTTATAAAGACACAATAAAAATGATCTTTTGTTCATTTGTGTAATTTTTTTTTTTTTCATTGTAATTTGACACTGATAAAATGTATTTTTTTTGGATAGTATATATTATTTACTTTTTTTCAAATAGAAAAGTTAATGTTCAGTTGATGTAAAAAATAAAAAATGGAAGAAAAAAAAATTTGGTTTGGCTGGTGGTGGTAGGAGTGGCTCTAAGAAACCTTTCAAAAATCTTATTTTCATGTTAAAGTCATAATTTAACTCTAGATATGTCATTTGTAGAGATGGTAAATTTTAGTAATTGCTAAGATATGTGAAATGTTTTCAAGCACTGAAAAAATTAGTAATTCAATGTTTGATGGTCAGTGCAAATATATTGTTGAAGGTTTTCAATATGTGATAAAATGTGAAATCAATAGCAACAAACTACACAACAAAACAACAAATAGTTATCCTGAAAACAGGTTCTCAAGGGTTTCCTGAGATTTCAATACAGAGTAGGTCTTGAGACGATGCAGAAGACCTAGGGCCTTCCGAAGCTGAATGCATAGGGCTCTCCTCATCATCTTCACGAAACCTTCTCCGTACTGCGAACTCAGGAAGCTGAGGAAGGTCCTATGCCTTCAGCGCAAGCATTAATTCTTGTGCTTTTATATTTGTTGAAGTTCAAAAATGGCAAAATATTAAATGAGTTTCTCTTATTTCTTGATTTTAATGGGAAGATCAAAAAGCATAAAAATAATTTTATCTCAGTGTCCTCTCTTAATAATTTTTTCAACAACTGGTACAAAATACTAAATCTTCATTTTCATAAGGCTATAAAATGCTATAGCTTTGTTTTCAAAATATAACTTTTTGAAATTTAAAGTGCTGAATTCTACCATCACTAGTCATTTGATTTTAGGAAACTTTTCACTGTCATATCCAGGGGTACCATCTTTACATATGCATTAGACCTCACGAAATTACGAGACAATTCTATGAAAGAACACTTGCTCCTTGTAACAGGGGGCATTCTGGCAATTTTTCATTGTTTGAGAAAATGTAAGGAGAATGCAAACATTTCATTCTTAATTGAAAAATCGAAATTGACTTTGAAAACATAGACCAAAGTAAAAATTATGGAAACATTCCAGATGTAATACCTGTGCATCTCTCACATTTATTTTTCCAGATGATTTTCAAAACGTGTTAGTATGCTACATAATTCACAAGTGGACTAGTGGATAAGCTAGATAAGTTCATGTATTTGAAAAGAATTGTTTAAAATAAGTATTATAATAAAAAATTATATAATTGTAAGGAATGCAATTTTTTTAAAAAATTTGTATTGAATAATGCTTATTTATGTCTTTTATTTTATATTGACAGGGACAAAATCTGTGTGAAACTCAGCTGGTGATTGTTGATAATATTCCAGAGGATGATAAGTTTCAAATCATTAGTAATGATAGCAGGGTGATTGAGCAGAAATTCAACTTGAGAAGAACGAATGTGTCAGATGATGAGGAGAGTTTACCAGAAGAGAAAGTTGTTGTGAAAAGGAGAAAAGATGATTTTGAATTATTTGGGGAATATGTGGCATTGGAATTAAGAAGTTTAAGATCAGATTATTATCGAAGGAAACTAAAAAGTGAAATCAGAAGAGCTATTGTTCGTATTGCAGATGAAGAGGATTCTATGTATTGAATTGGAATACTGAATTTTCTCACATAGGCATGCTTTGAGGCAGCCTTTTATGATGAATTCTTTTGTATTTGTCTTTTAAATAACTTCATTGAATTGCTTGTATTCATTTTTACTAGATATTTATTTCTGAATTCCCTTACTTTTAAGCTAATTCTCACATTTTCTGCTGTGTGAATGATTGGAGTAAAATGAATTTATAGATTGATGTAATTCAAAATGTTCTTGTTAATAAAAATATTTTTGTATCCTTCATTTTTATTTTATTTTCCTGCTCTTGAGTAATTCTTATGTGCTAAGAAATATTTATGCAAACCTTTTTTGCATAATTATAAAATAGCACTGCTCCTTGAAGTCAAATTGAGTTAAAAAATCAAACAAATATTCATTTCTTGTGTTTGTTTTAACTTTTTTATTCAAAAGGAATATTTAAAATGCAAACGTGCTCCAAGTCAGACTTCACGAATGCAATGAATCTTTAGCAGGTGGCAAATAGTTGAAATGTATATAAAGGTAGATATTTGGGAAAAGCATTAAGTATTGTGTTGTTGTTTTTTGTGAGTTTAAATTTTTTATGAATACATTGTAAATTTTATTATTATTTAATGGTGTTCTCAGAGAGTTGATTTTAGTTATTACTAGTGATCTGGAGCAGCAAAAATGTTCACATGCTCAGGAACAACAAATAAAAGCTCACACAGAATAATACAAATTAATACTTTCATGAAAACAGTTCTCAATAATACTGCAATAATGTAATCTAGTATTTATACTATGCAAGAGTTCTTTACAAATTACTAAGTATATAAAAAAAGAGTTACTTTCCCATAATGTAACATGTGAAAAAGAAACACTTAATAGGGGCGGACTCTTTTTTGGAGCATTGTTGTTGCATGACACAAAGTCTGTCATAAGCAGTGATGCACCTAGTTTATGAGAATTTAGATGGTATATGCAGTATGAGAGCAGGTTAAATAACATAAATAATTATTTGTATTTTTGTGGATTAACTAAACTTATTTGGGAGAAAATGTGTCTTATAAATTTGGACTTTCTCATGTTCAAACTGATTTTCAGATTAGAACACCCAAAACTTGAGGGATTTTTCATGATATTTGTTGAAATCACGAAATTAGTCATCCGGTGCCTTTTTAAGGGCATGATACCAAAATGTTTTTCAAATTTCAATTAAAATAATTATTTTCGGCATACATAAGATTGTTTAAGAGAGACAAGTAATATTTTATCAAAATAAAAACCTGTATTATTCTGAATTTTAATATATTTTAAATCAACTACAAATTATGCAATTAGTTTATAATGTTAAGCTTTATTGAATGAGTACATTTTGAATAAGAGCGAGTTTTCAAGCATGTACGAATGCAATAAAGCAACGTCATAAACGAGTTGCGTACGCATTTTTTTATAGCAGCATTATAAATTTATAAGAGAATCAAACTTAATTTTTCGAAACATCTTTCTTGTGGCGTCTAGGCGTATAGATATGTGAGACAAAATGGTGTTCCATTTACCACTATATCCCCAAGATTCTCTCGCTGCGATTAGCTGAATGTATGATGATGCAATCATTCGTGCAGCAAAATGCTAATATTAATACGTTATAATAAGCGCCAAGTTATGGACGATGTCTTGAAAAAGAAAATGTCGATCATAATGCTGGTATTTAAAAAACAAAACTTCTAATAAATACCTGTCTCGAATAGGTTAATCATTCTGAATTCTCAGAAGCGCATGGGCATTAATTTCAGTGTAAAACGAAAATGTATTCAACAAATGACTTGTATACAATACCTATACAGAGTGCTCTTGCTTAAAAATTGAATGCACCACCTGCTATAAATATAAAAAGTTAATGTTTTGATATATATTTTTTTATATTATTACTTTGGTGTGTTAGTCTTGAAAAATCTGCTCGTTGTTTCATGGTACAGTAATTTGGAATTTTTGTAATTCTGTTTTGCTTACAGAAGTAAATGTGTTTATAATTTTTAAGAGGTAGATTTTAAGATATGAATCTTCTAATGACTGGTTCATTTTGTATTTTGTTGTGGTGGCTTCCTTTGTTGAAGGGTGTTTCGTTCTTTTGCAAACCCAGTAACTAATATAAAATGAGTTATTATTTAAATTCTGCAGTATTGTTCACAATTTCGCTTAAATGTAGAAATGCCATGTATTGGGGATGGGAGATTTCAATTTGTATTTAATTAACACAACGGGAAAAATCATAGTTTATGCATAGTTTATTCTATTTACTTTTTGATATAGAAAATATTGAGGAAGTCAAAATGTTTCACTTTCACAGTTCAATCACAATCTGGATGACGTTTTTATCGCGTTCACTACCGCACCGCGAGTTTCACCCGTTCCATTTTTTCTTTTCAATCCGTACTGAGCTTGGAGATGGATGTGTTCCTTTATTCGCATTGTAAGACATAATACATATCACACAATTCCTCGCACCGTTCACACATACACAAGTTGGTTCGTGAAAACTTTTCGTTTTTCATACTTTGTGGTGAAATCCATGCACCGCAATTTTATCATATCCTATTCCCATCCAATCTCTTGTGATCATTGCACCCGTTGTGTAAAATCCTTCCCATATTTATTTCCTTTTCTCTCTTAGTTCCTTCATTAGTTCTTGGTTCCAGAATGGTGTGTTTGTTACAATATGTATTTACCGCTTCTAGAAAAGTTCTGACTAACGCAGCGCATCATTCGCAGTAGTGGCGCAAATTGCAACATGAGGGCGCGTCAGTCGCGTTTGTTCCTGTAGTAGTATTAGGAGTCTCGCAGTAGCTTTAGTTGCGGTTAGTTGTTTCATGGCTGCTTAGTGTGATTGTAAGTGATTCAACTTTGAATGTGCATTTAGGCTGCGTTATTTGTTTTATTAAGATGAATGTGTAAGTGTTATAAGATATTATGATGCAGTCCATTGTGTGGACTGGGAGGCTGTTGTCTCGTGCATTGTGGAATGGTTTGTCCAGTTACTCAAATTGTGCTGAACCGAACTTAAATAGAAGACATGAATCGCGCATTGTGTCTGCAGTATGTGGATTTCCGAAAGAACTAGCATATACAAAATTTAGAAAAGGACAATTTGGAGATGATGCGTGGTTTATGGCGAAATACAAGTCTGCAGATGTCATTGGTGAGTGATACATTGTTATAAATAGTACGCATGTTGTAGCGCACATGGCCACGCGGTGTCACTTTTTCGTTTGGAGAGCAATTGTTTGTCATATGTTTCATTTACACATATGTATGCATTGTGTAACACATCATTAATAACTGTAATGAGTGGATTAAAAAAATATGTATGTAATTATTTTACATTTACATGATTTTGTAATTAGTACGTCATAAAAATAGTCAATAATCAAATTTTCTCCTGCGAATTTAATTTGAGAAATGGTGATTAAATGATCACCATCAGATTTCACTTAGCGAACTTTGTGTACCTCATGAATTAATTTCCAAAGAACTACTATCACAACAATGAACAGTGATGGCAGATCTTTGTTCTTCCCGTTGGGCACCAAACGCGTCTGTGAGAGACGAGTACTAATCCACATAGTAAATTGAGCTGTAGTAAGTATAGTTAAGCAAGTTGAATTTTATTGTAGATGTGTGGGGTAATTTAGAAATGCACGCTTCAGAAATTTCTGTAATTAAATTTGTAATCAGTTAGATCATTCATTTATATCAAGTGTTGCAGCAAATGCTATTGACGTTCCTCTGTCTGATTACTTCCATTTGTCTAAAAACGTATTCTAATGCAAATTATATGTCTATGAAACCGTAGTTTAAAATCTCTCCGTGACATTTTTGTCTGGATTATTTTTTTAAACGATAAAGTTCGTTGATGGGTTACGTTAATTTCTTTTATGAGAGCTCGCGCACAACGAGCACGTGCTCAGATGTGGAGTCTGTGGGATTGATCTTCGGAAGGGTGCGGGGATGCAGACGGCTAGAGGCCAACGCCCTAGAAGGGTCACCTGCTTCGTGGGCCGGCTCGAGGCCCCAGATTAACCGGTAATCGCGTAGAGCAGTAATTTAGATATGTCATGTAAGTTGATTTTGTGAGTAAATCAGCAGGAAAACTCTAGTATATATAAATGATTTTTTTATGGAAATGTACAATTGTTAATCTTATATTACAAAAAATGTATTTGTGAAATACATCCAAACAATTTGCGAACTGAAAACTGCTTCATTGTGAGAAAATTGTACGTTTAGTCAGATATTAAATAACTGCTTCCGGTTAGTTTAATTTTTACGCTTGGTGTTTGTTGGCACAAAGTATAAATACACGGTCTACATTTTTTTGTTTTTTACATAAACATTGTTGATATATTTATGCCTGTCATACATAGCAACAAATAGGATTTTTTTACGCCCTCCTCTCCTTTGTAACACTGACGCCCTCTCCTCAATGATCATTCCATTTCGAACAGTCTCTCCGCCCACTTCCAGATTATCGAAGTTGCCTTCATAAATTCCATACAAACGGAATATAATTTTTTCAAATTTGATTACAATATAAGTGTTTGGCTTATTTGACATTTATGTGTATATTGAAGATGAAAATATATAAAAACTTTTACATAGATTGTTGCGGAGAAAGTTCACTTTTCCCCCCCCCCCCCCCCAATTAACCTAAGTCAGTTGTGGAAACCCCTTAAAACGAACGCACTTTTTTCAATAGTTCCTAACGAATTCCCTACTCAATACTTCAATGATTTTTTATTAAATATATAGAGTATCACTTTTTTTGAGGAGGGGGTATTTCTGAGTTGGTTTTACTAGGGTCTCAAAAATACCGAGCTCCACCAATGACGGGAAAATACGCTGATTAAATGTCAAATCAAAATATAGCTATACTTCATGTCAAATCAAGGTACAGCCATATGTAATGTCTAGAGCCCTGAAATGCAGGCATTTATTTTACTTAAAATAGGCACGGAAAGGGCACTTATTGTTTCTAAAATATGCATGCAAGGGACATTTATTGTTGACAAAGTAGGGGTGCAAAAGGCATTTAAATAATGTAAAATCACTTATAAAATAAACGATAGTAAAAAAATTAATAATTCAAATAATAATTCACATTTATTCTAACTCTAAAATGTACATTAGCACTTAGGTGGAACGATCATTTCTTTGTAATCTTGATTGCGCATGACCACCCGATATGCTGACTACGAATTTGTAGTGCTAGTGTGGACTCCCGTGTGAATCTTGAAATGGCATTACGGGAAAACGGAATTATTGTTTTCGTTCATCACATGTGTAATCCACAGCACCGACAAGATGACATAAAGAGGGATCGAAGGTTTACCAAATTGTAGGAAGGGATTTCTTAAGAGTAAACAAAGCCAGACAGCATGTAAAAAATAAAATATAAAAAAGAAAATCATGTCTGTTATGGTCTTCCTTTCTTATTTAGATTTTAACTCATCCTGACCCTGGAGCCTCCGCTTCCACGAAAGAACACAACCGGCCCTTCGTGTTGTCCTGGCTTGCAGGTGTGTTTCCAGCTTGATCGAGATCCGGGCAAGGAAAGTAATGACAAGGGGGAAAAAGGGGAAATAAGGCAAAATACCTCGAATAGGTTTCATAAGAAAAAATATCCAAAAAAGGGGGTGGCAAAATGGAAATCTATTAAAACTACTCCAGATGTACAAATAACTGATTCCTGTTATTAGGCCATAAAATCGTAAGAAAAGGCATTTTGCGAAACGTCCAGGCTCTAGTAATCTCAAATCAAAATGTACCCAGTCAAATTAGACCAAAAAATGGTGATAGTGATGTAAATTCTGGGGCTATAATTTTGTCAACGTTGTTGGTACAAACAGTACATGAAACTAGTATTCATTCTGAAGTGTGTGTGTGTCTGTGTGTGTGTGTGTGTGTGGATGTGAAATGGGGGTAGAGAGCTATTTAAGGGCGTTTTTAAAACCTTGCACAAAAAACATAAATATTCCATATCTTATCAAATATTTTTTTAATACAGTAGACTTGCGAGTGTCCGAGATCATTGGGCTTGAGATTATCTGGTATACGAGAAGACTCAGATTATTCATAGTTCGTTTGGTAAGGGATCATGTACACGTTTTTTGCCAACGAATAATGTACACAATAAAATGTAGGTTGCTTCAAACATTATAAATGGCATAAATACGTCTGCCGATGTGAGAGAAACATCTAGAATTGAGAATAATAGTGACAAGCGAAACACTCACACTTTCATGGCCAAATATGACAGAATTGGGAAAAGTTCCCATATTCCTAGGGTCGCTGACTGCATCCATATTCTTTCTTTGTTATATGACTTGCCATGGTTTATCGGTACGGATAATCGCGAGTCTTCTGTTGTATCAAATATCTTAGTTTATCATCGCTTTTGATTCATTATCATGATTCGGTAACCTTTCGTGCACCTCTTAAGCACGCGATCGCTCTCGTATGTTGTCCTTATTTGTTCATGTAGTATGTGCCGAGTAGTTGAATACCACAGTCGCCTAACAGTGTCAAAATGGGGAGGCTGATTTTTGATTAGGGTGTTGATAGGTCAGGTGTGTTGAACAGCAATGGGAAAAAGAAAGAAGAGGTTATTGCCAGTATTTCAAGGAAATGTAAAATACAGAACCTCTTCGGCGAGAAGAAATCTGCAATTGTTCATGCTTCTTGTCGAAACAACTACTCCAAAACAGATTTTAGAAGTGACTCAAGTGTGGCATCCATCAACATCCCCTCTTTACATGGTCAATATTTCAAGCAAAATTACTCGAAAATTATTGATATTTTCAGAAAATTGTAAAAGACATTCTTTGAAGTACGTATACAAGTGTAAATATCCGTTTCAAATTTCCGTTCATATCAATAGGGGAATTTCAATTTTGGAGAAATCATGTGAACGATTTAGGCGCTAGCATTAACTGCTGACAGACGGACTGACACTGTCAGAGAGACATTTTGGCAACAACCAATTTTTTCAATGTGAAGGGCGCGTAAAACTGGGATTTTGACTACACCAAGTGTTTGAGGAAGTAATTTACTACATACAGGGTCAAGATTTATCCTTTTATTCGTTACACGACAGCAAGTATACGAAGTACAGTTTTTTTTATTTCAGTTCCAACATGGGCAAAATTTAATTATCACGCGTATATAAAATTCTATGACTGGCCACCTCAAAACGCCTTGAACATCTTTTACGTATTACGAGTTAATACGTATCGTTTTTTTGCTTTCTCGTATATTCTGTAGTGAAACATTTTAAAGTATTCATGTAAGTAAAGTTAGAAAACGTCGTTTAATTGAATATAAACGTAAGTACAGTTATTTACAGCAAATGGTTTTTGACATGTTAATGAGCTCCCACCCCGATGATGGGTTTTCATTCAGTTTCTCTTGATTAATTTAGCAAGGGATTCTTTGCTTTCGGGCAATAAATCCCCACTCGTACATTTTTTAAAAAAATGTAAATGAATTGTAACCAAGAAATAATTTATTGATTTATAATTTTACAGATATTGAAAGGGTAATTTTATTCCTTCCGTTATTTGTCGTAATAAATGCTACTACTGTGGAGCTGTGTGTTTTTTACATTGTATTTGCCTCATAGTTCCGATTTGTTTCCCATAATCCCTCCGCATCCACATCTCTCTCTCTCTCTCTCTCTCTCGTTCCTCTCTATATATATATATAATATAATACTAGTAATATATACTACTATATACTATAATAATTATATATAATAATATTTTACTTTGAGAAAAGATGTCCTTATTTTGCGAGGAGCGTTTTATGTTGGTTGATTACTGCATCATAGATTTGGTTGAGCGTCTCTGTATTCTTATTTACTTTTGTAATTTACAATTGTGGGCTGTTTTTACTGAGTCAAATGTCCTTATTGATTAATCGAGAAATTCTTGTTCCTGACTCGTTATTAGCTGTCTTCAGCTGCAATCGCTGGGAATGGTAGTCGTGCATTGGCAAAGGATCACACACCGGACGTGGCGCGGGCTTGATTCCAACGTGTATATTTGATGGAATGCCAGACCCTTTAATCGACCGTGACCGGTACACTTTCGCATTTTTTTGGATGAAGCAATGTCTCACGAGCGTACTGACAGTGTAGGTGGA